GAGATACCACCTTACACCTGTCAGAATGGCTAACATCAACAACTCAGGCAACAAAAGATGCTGGCAAGGATGTGGAAAAAGAGGATCTCTTTTGCATTGATGTGGGAATGCAAGCTGGTGCAGCCACTCTGGAAAACAGTATGGAGCTTCCTCAAAAAACTAAAAATAGAGAACTACCCTATGACCCAGCAATTGCACTACTAACTATTTATCAAAGGGATATTGGTGTGCTGTTTCGAAGGGACACATGCACCCCCATGTTTATAGCAGCACTATCAACAATAGCCAAAGTATGGAAAGAGCCCAAATGTCCATCTATGGATGAATGGATAAAGAAGATACGGTATATATATACAATGGAGTATTACTCGGCAATCAAAAAGAATGACATCTTGCCATTTGCAACTATGTGGATGGAACTGGAGGGTATTATGCTAAGTGAAATTAGTCAGTCAGAGAAAGAGAAAAATCCTATGACTTCACTCATATGAGGAGTTTAAGAGACAAAACAGATGAACATAAGGGAAGGGAAACAAAAATAATATAAAAACAGGGAGGGGACAAAACATAAGAGACTCATAAATACAGAATACAAACTGAGGGTTACTAGAGGGGTTGTGGGAGGGGGATGGGCTAAATGGGTAAAGGGCACTAAGGAATCTACTCCTGAAATCATTGTTGTACTATATGCTAATTTGGATGTAAATTTTAAATAATAAAAAATAAAATAAAAAAAAGAAGTTAAAAATGTATGTATAGTATAGACCTTTATATACATCCATATATATGTGTATATATAGGTTAGTATACTACACTAACAATCACTTAAAAGCAGAGTTACAATAAGCCAAGAAGAGATAAAAAGGAATCATGAAAAATAACACAAAACAGAAAAAGACAAAGAACAAATGGATCAAAATTAAAAAAATAAACAAAGATGATAGATTTAACCTAAACCATATCAAAATCATGTTAAATGTAAATGTTCTAAAACATGATTAATTAGGTAATTAAAAGGTAGAGATTTTCAGATTAGATAAAAAAGCACTGGAGCTCTGGTCAGGTACTGACCTAAGCACCTTAGATAATCTCATTAAATCCTCTTGTAACAATCAGGAGGTATCAATCATGCCTTCAATTTCAAATATTTAAAAAAAATGATCCTCAGAGAGGTTATGTAACTTCTCCAAGCAACCCAGCAGGTAATCACTGTTGGGCACTGCGGAGGGCTGGGACGCCCATAGTACTTGCTTCCTTCCCTTCCCTCCAATGCAGAGGAACTGCATTAGGTGCTGTGCTGCATGGCAATATGTACTGTTTAGGATGAAATCTAACTTAACTAGCTGATGACCGTGGGCCGCATATATTTCTTTAAGATATGTTTCCTCATTTGTAAAGTAGAAATAATAATAGCTACCTTAGAGTGTTGTGACGATACACTGAGAAAGTCCAGTGGGCAGTGTGTATTAACTGGGGGTGGTCCTGGTACTTTAGGCCATCCCCTGCAGATCACAGGAGAAACATCAATTGTACAATTCCACTTCAAAACCAAAACAGTGCTTGCTAAGAGTAACCATCACTACCCTCCTGCTCAACCTGCAGCATTACAGAAATAGAGCATAGGAGTTACTGTCTCATTTTTACTTTACAGCATTATATGAACTTGACGATTTTTCTTTGAGAATCTTAGCGTGCAATGAATCAGCCTTCTTTTAAAGGAAACTTCCAACTCAACTATTATGTTTATCAAATCCTTTTTTTTTCTCCCCCCCCCCCCGGAGTAAAACTGTCAATTTCACTTTTTTATCCAGATTACAAAATTTAGATTCCTTGTGTTTTCATTTTGGACACCTAGAAGAAATAACTTCAACTTAGAAAAGGATTAGAGGGGCGCCTGGGTGGCGCAGTCGGTTAAGCGTCCGACTTCAGCCAGGTCACGATCTCGCGGTCCGTGAGTTCGAGCCCCGCATCAGGCTCTGGGCTGATGGCTCAGAGCCTGGAGCCTGTTTCTGATTCTGTGTCTCCCTCTCTCTCTGCCCCTCCCCCGTTCATTCTGTGTCTCTCTCTGTCCCAAAAATAAATAAAACGTTGAAAAAAAAAATTAAAAAAAAAATAATAAAAATAAAAAACAAAGAAAAGGATTAGAAAAATTACTCAAGCATTACCTTACATTTGAAATATTAATACATGACTTTAAAAATCAAAATGCAATCCTGGGAGTTAAGCAGAAAGTTAAAAAAGTAATAAAAACAACATAAGATTCCAGCATTATATAGAAGCTTCAAATTCATTTTCTTTCAAAAGAGACAACAATTAAAAAAACAATTTAGATACAACACAGACTGTCAGCTAAACAGGAAACCAATCAGTCTTCATTGTCATAATACTGCTTTTCTGAACAAATAAATGTTGGACACAAAATTTCAAAGACAGTTTATTCAAAATTCTCCACCTAGGAGAAAAGATATATAACAATGTTTACACATGCTTTAATAACTTACTTCACTGTACAACTTGCATTCCATGTAACAGTACAATAAACCAGCAAAAGAAAATAATCGGTCAGCACTCTTTAATAATCAATCACATAAGAAGCACTGAGTAAGGGGTGCAATAAGGTGGTATCTGTAAATTCTTTCATGAGTGCACCACAGAGCACCAGTCATCTCATTCGGTTTGTGTCTAAAAATCAAGATGTCTACACCCTTCTTATTAGTGATGTGAAAGGTAATTAGGACCTTTCAGAACATAACATGTTAGTTTTGGTTCCATTTGGTGAGCAATGGCAGAGAGGCTCTGTCACTTTTATCCCTTTCTTATAAATACTTTTCCCTTTTGTGTAACTTCCACAGTTTTAAATAAAAATAATTTTTATGCTTGTATATACTATTATGTCAAAACGGTTCTAGCAAAGAATTATATTAGTCAGTTTACAGCTAGCACAATGGTCCAAAGACATTAAAGAAACAAAAGAAATTGACCACTTAGTTCTGCCAAAGTAGCACCTAGTAAAATAGCACATCAATAAAGTTTCTCCTGTTTTCCTCACATGATGCAGAGGCAAATAGACCTGGCAATAACCTCAAAAGTAAGGGCAGAAATTTGAGAAGGAAAAGGACAAGATATTGTTCTCTGTTCCTGTAAAAGGATCTTACTAGTTAGTATATTCTCCATTGCATTTCATAATCTTGGAGTTACAACTGTCAAATGAGGGTAAGACTATGCAGGAGGAAAACAAGATAAAAATGACTGACTAGTGTAATCTGAACTTCTTCCAAGTAATTATATTTTCCAAGAAAAAAAAGGCACAGGAGGTACACATTTCAATTTGGCTCAAAAATAATAAAAATTAATTTAAATAGTTTGCAATAACTACTAAAACATAAAATCCAATTTCCTCTATTGTCTTTGACAGAGCTCAACACACACACACACACACACACACACACACCCCCACACACACACAGAAACACACAAATACCCTGACTGGTTTGCCATAATCCGGACTACACATACTGATGTTTCTACACAGATTGAACCCTAAGGACTACCCAGTCTACAAAGGAGGATCTAATAATTAATTTGAATTAAACATCTGCTTGATCAATACATTCTTTCTAATACTTAACCTATGTTCCAGCTAAGTTCCTTTTGTGGAACTGAAATGATTCAGATGCTCTAATTTTCAGCTGATTATAAAAGTATTACAGTAATCTTACATACCAAGGAATACCAAGAGATGAAAAGTCAACTAGTATTATATCTGTGAAAAGTAACTCAGATTTCACTTTGATACATGTAAACCATGAATTGTAAGTTTCAAAAACAGTAGTTGTGGTCAAGTTCATATCTTATTATTATATCTTTAAAAGATAGCAGGAACATTTACTCTAACTGTAAACATAAGTCTGTATCTCAAGACAACACACCTAGGAAAAGATGCATCCATTGTAACAATGCACCGGACGTCCCCTGACAGACTTGTGACAAGTGTAGTGTAACTAACTTTAACTGCACTGCCAAGTAGGAGTCTGGGACATGACCCAAGGGAATGATGTTTCCCACACCACTGAGCTACTTCAGCAGCAATCATCATGGTGACAACATATATTTAATAAGTTACACATTTAAAAAGTCATTAGAACATCTCGTTCTTGTACACTAGTATAGAAAGGTCTTCCAAAGATAAATGAGTGGAGGCCTGGTTTAATTTTCTCAGCTAGAGCCATTATTATGTTAAGGTCGCCCTCTGCTGTTAAATCAAGGTCTATCTTCAGGTTCCGAAGAGACTTAAAGGGCTTTTTCCCCTTCTGCCTATAAATAATGAAGAAAAATCCTTTTTACATATAAATACATAAATACATAAAAATATATAGAAAACATCCAAAAGGAACAAAACAAAGCACAATGCACAAAGGTTTTTATTCCATATAGCTTTACTTACGTATCATCTTCTATATACTTTATTAGCGTCAAGGCTTTTCTGTGAAGGACGAGTAGAAACTGTGCCAGGAAAGTACTCCTGAGAGATAAACCAGGCTTCAAATGAAAGACCTACAGGAAAATCAAACATTTTAATAAATAATTTGCTCCAAATCTTCTTATACAGCATATTTCTATCACAGTGTTGACAATGTCTGGCAGCTAACACACATTAGAGCAGCTTTCCACAACCATTCCTACTGATGCCCCTAACAGACAGGAAGTACTGAATTTAGAGGCGATCATGTTTTTCTGAAGTTTTCTATTTTATCTTTGAAAATGGACTCTAATTTTGCATACTACCTCAAATATATATCCTTATTTACTTTATTAAGAATCATGATGTAATTTGCATCCTGATGTGTACTTAACTTTTTCTGCCCATATCTCCAAATAAAATCCAAGCTCTCAGAAGTTGAGCCACGCTTATAGGCTAGGGTTTTGAGGTCTTCTTCTCTCTCTCTACTCTTGGGGTGTTGAGGGTACATGTGTAATGATAGAATGATTTTATTCAGCTTGAGAAGCATGGAATTCATTGCATGGTTGTGAATTATCTCTGAACTTTGCAATATGTCACAGACCACACAGATCTGGTTCCAAAATTTTGAGTTAACTTAAGGACCTCATTATTTCAAAGCTACTTCTATGACCCTGTTCCTGGCCTGATCCCCAGAATGATATTATGACACAGCTCTGTTATATTAAGAAATAAGTCCCATGTAATCTATAATTTTCTTCAAATGTTAATTAAGCAGATTATTTTTGAAAAGAATAAGACAATAAAGATGTTATTATTTCAGTACAAGTATACAAGTTTTAAAGATATTTTGGCCCAATTAAGGCAAATAAAAACCTTTCTCCCCTCCCCAAAAGAAAACACCTGGAGTTATATGTTAGTGGTTGGAATTAAGACATTTATTATTTTAAGTGGGGAATACTGCATCTTTAATTGTTAATATACAGCCCATGGCCATTAACAAATCAAAAGAAAAATCATGTAGACACTTTGGAAAGACATGAGACACTACGAAAAGATAGTAACTTAATTCTATGATGATATAGATATATATAGAGAGCGAGAGAGAGCGCATGCGCACAGGCAATGTAGTATATATTAAAAAAGATAGTATGTCATACTATTCATTTTGACAATCTTAGGTTTAACATTTACCTGATCCAGGAAGGCTTTTACTAGAGTGTCTCTGTGTAAGACATCTTGAAAAATATTCCTACAAAGAAAACAGTCCAAATGTTGAAATGTCTATACAACGCTACTTTCCCAAATCCCTCACTCCAGTCAAGTTAATTCTTAGAAATGGAGTATTACATATAAACATATTTATAAAAATTAGATGTATATATTTGGAGATATAAAATACATATTCATTTTAACTCAAGGATACACTTGCATATTACTGGAGTTTGTCAAGACAGTATGTAATTATTTTTCTCTTAAAGATATAAGCAGTCCCAAGGGCATGTAAATACCTATCAATCTATTTTTGTACCCTCACCTTATAAAAAAAATTTGAGAGCCTCAGAGAATTAATAAATATGATTACCAATTCCTGCCATGTCAAAAAAATAAAAGCAACAAAAATAAACACATATTACTACCATCAAAACCCAAAATAAAATAAAAGGTTAACCTTATAATAACTTGTAATAAGCTGTTCAGGAAGAAAAAGGTAAAAGGGTGAACACTAAGAAACATTCAAATGGGATTAATGAACATCTTGACCACTGAGTTGCATCAACAAACCTATCATCAGGCAAGTAACAAGAACCAATTACTTAGGAAAGTATAAGCTACTTGGTAATGATCGGAGTAAGAAACTAAGACGTTAACTCACACTTGAGATAATGTGCACACTTGAGATAGTGTATATCTAACATACCATAAGGTAAGCAATTTTTAACTGAAAATAGTAGGGATCATCATCGAACTGACAAGACTGGCAAAGAGGTGTGTATGCATAAATAAATAGGAAAGTACCTAAAATTTCCTAGTTAAGGAGATGGGTATACCAAATTACAGAAGAAGGAAATTCAGAAGGAAAAAAAAAATCAGCCTTTCGTGATCACTGGCTGTCCAACTGGTGTCCAATTTGGTAGTAACAGTACCCCTTTTCTGGCTTTGGAGAGAGAATAAGGCTAAATTATTTAAGTCTAGTGTTCTGAATATACTGTTTCACTGATTGTCTCAGTAATAAGTAAATCAGATGAAGCCAGTGTTAAAAAAGAATATTTCTAGTGACTGATTTTTCATGTAGTGGCAGTGAGTGTAACTATTTTTTTTTTAATTTTTTTTTTTAACGTTTATTTATTTTTGAGACAGAGAGAGACAGAGCATGAACGGGGGAGGGTCAGAGAGAGGGAGACACAGAATCTGAAACAGGCTCCAGGCTCTGAGCTGTCAGCACAGAGCCCGACGCGGGGCTCGAACTCACGGACCGCGAGATCATGACCCGAGCCGAAGTCGGCCGCTTAATCGACTGAGCCACCCAGGCGCCCCAAGAGTGTAACTATTTTTAATAGGGGCGCCTGGGTGGCTCAGTCGGTTGAGCTCCAACTTCGGCTCAGATCATGATCTCATGGTCTGAGTTCGAGACCCGCGTCGGGCTTGTGCCGACAGCTCGGAGCTTGTCTCAAAAAAATAAATAAACGTTGAAAAAAAAAAAAGGGTTAAAATTAAAAATATCTTAAAATTAAATAATATTGTTTAAAGGAAACTAAAAAATACAGTATATATAACATATAAAAGTTAATACACAATCTAATGGTAGAAAATATCATTTTGGGCCCATTTGATGCTCAGAAAATTTACTTAGAGTTGTAAACAAATTTTAAAAATTCATGACATTATGGTTTTTTATTTTATCACCAACAAAAATAAGACTAGATGGCTAATCAACATCTGTCAAATCAGTGAAGCATTCAAACATAACTGGCTAAAATGAGTAAGAAATGTTAAAAGCATACATACACTTTCTCTAAAAAAATAAAAATAAAAATAAAAATATAGGTGGTAAATCCATCCTAAAGTTCACTAAATTCCCCAAAAAGGATATCTGAAGTAACAAAAAAAAAAAAAAAAAAAAAAAAAAAAAAAAAAAAAAAAAAAAAAAAAAAAAAAAACAAAAAAAAACAAAACAAAGCAGAAAAAATACTAAACACTTTAGTTAAGAAGAAAATGCTTGAAAGCACAGATTAATTTTGAGAATTACTACACATGTACCAAAATTACCAATACTTGAAAACATAGTCATCACCTGGAATTCCAATTTTGACCAATTCATTTTCTTTCTTTTTTCTTTTGAAAGTTTATTTTACTTATTTTGAAAGAGACAGAGTGAATGAGCAGGGCTGGGGCACAAAGAGAGCGAGAGAGAGAATCCCAAGCAGGCTCTGTGCTGTCAGTGCAGAGCCGGATGTGGGGTTCCATCTCACAAACCGTGAGATCATGACCCGGGTCAAAACCAAAAGTTGGACGCTTGACGGATGGAGTCACCCACGTGCCCCTTGACCAATTCATTTTCTAAACCAATTCTCTTAAAACTTTCTAAGGAACCAACAAGATCAGTGCACGCACAGCTGAGAAAAGATGGGTCCTAATGATGCCATCTTTTAGAGACACGTGAGGCTGGGGATCCCTTGGACATGGGTGTTCCTTTTCTCTGCTTTTGGTCACCATCTTCTGTGTCACTACTGGTGCTCCACATGTCCCCTGTCTCAGCTCAAAATCTTTCTTAGAAACACAGGACAGAGTTGCATGCTCCAATTTTACTGCTGCTTTGTACACTCAGAACTGGATTATCACAGTTAACATATATTGAGCACATTATATATGCCAGGTACTTTACACTGATTAAAGAGAACCATTATACTATACTCCATTTCTTTTCCTGATGTAGAACTTAAGTATTTTCTTGGGTTTATAATACAAATTTATAATTTTTTCTCCTCTCATTAGGTCCACTTTCAACATTTTATCACTACTTTTCCTCTTTTTTTATTTAGTGATCACACTTTATGGTAAAAAATGAGTAAACACAATATGAAATGCAAATAAAAGAATGCTCTGTAAATGTATTTTTGTAGTTCTACTGTATTTTATATTCACATATCAAGAAAAAAAGACTTAGAATTATTTCTTTAGTTAAGTTAAAATGCCTTCTAATGAGTCTTACACACTAGACTAATAAGCAATGCCAAGGGTTGGGGCTATCTGGTTGGTCACTATTTTTTTTAAATATTTATTTTGAGAGAGAAAGAGAGAGTATGAGCAGGATGAAGCAGAGAGAGAGAATCCCAAGCAGGCTCTGTGCTGTCAGTGCATAATGCAACAGGGCTCAATCCCATGAACTGCGAGATCATGACCTGAGCCAAAACCAAGAATCGGATGCTTAACTGACTGAGCCACAAAGGTGCCCCCAGTTGGTCACTACCAGCCTTAGCACCTATTACGGTGCCTAGGGCCTCAATATATATTTGTTAAATAAATACTTAAATATTTACTTAAAAAAATTTTTTGTTTATTTTTGAGAGAGACAGACTATGAGAGGGGGAGGGGCAGAGAGAGAGGGAGGCACAGAATCTGAAGCAGGCTCCAGGCTCCGAGCTGTCAGCACAGATCATGACCTGAGCTGTCAGCACAGATCATGACCCGACGTTTAACCCACTGAGCCACCCAGGTGCCCCTTAAATATTTACTTTTAAGGACTAATCTAATCTCTCTATGCAAAACATAATTACATTAAGAAAAACAGACATTTAAGAAAAAAGGCATGACTAACCAAATTTTTCTTCAAGCATAATTCTCTTAGTAATAGTTCATTCCTTTCAAATACACACTTGATTTTACTCATAAAAGATACAACTGCACAATACCGTTTAACAATAACATTATTACGTACAAATCAGGAGTGAAGCTTTCATCTGTATAGATGATTGTATCCTGAGCCATGTCTTCTTCTGAAGTGGCTCTCCAGAATGCTGTCAGCTCAGATCTCATGTACCTGCGCTGATTGTAAATATGCTCGTGACATGGTGGCATCTGCTTGACAGTGTTGACGTCCACATCTATGTGTGTGGTGGGATAGGGAGCGTACATGACTTGCCGGAATGGGAGCACAAAGCTTCCGGTTGAATCCTGACATAATGAAAAGAAAATTCATTGTTTTATATGTCAAAAGACACGAAGAATTATTTTTTAACCAGAAAAACTGGCTTTAACAGATCCATTGTATACAGTTTTAGTGATGTGTGCACTAAAGCACTGGCTGAAATGGTGAACACTAGAAAACAAGTAAGCATCCAAAAAGAGAACTGATTAAACAAAAAATGGCTTATTATTTAGCTACTAAAAATGAATTTGCAGAACAACTGAAGTTATCAATTTGTGTTGATACAGAAAGATATTCATAACGTATTATGGAAAGAGGAGGTTAAAATATGCAGGGATAGGGACAGGGAACTATGTAAAAGATACATACAGAGGAAAAAAAGACCAGAAAGATAGATGCCAAATATTAACGGTGGTAATACATTGGATTATGAGAGTATGGGTAACTTTTTATTTTCTTCTTGATTATTCCTTATGTTCTTTTAAATCTCAATGAATCTATAATTTTTGTAAGTAAAAAAATGTACTTCTTTCCAAGTATTGTCAGTTGGGTAGTCAACTGCCATGTAACAAATATCTGTGTATGAAACATTGGTATATGTTATGAATACAATATAGAGGCTACTTTCAATTTTTCACTCTCATAATGCTATAATAAACACTTTCATAAGTAAATCTTTCTTCTTATATAACTGCTTCCCTAAGATTTCCAGAAATATAGATAGTAAGCTAAGTCTTTGAACATTTTTATTTTTTATTTTAGAGAGCAAGAGAGAGGGAGAGTGCCTGCACACGTGCATGCACTTGAGTGGAGGAGGGGGGAGAGGGAGGGGGGAGAGGGAGGGGGAGAGAGAGAGAGACAGAGAGAGAATCTTAAGCAGGATCCATGCTCAGTGTGGAACTGGATGCAGGGCTTAATCCCACAACCCTCAGATCATGATCTGAGCTGAAATCAAGAGTCAGACACTCAAGTGACTAAGCCATCCAGGCACCCCAATTTTTGAACATCTTTAAAGCTCTTGACAAAGAATGTTAAAATATTTCTGAAAGGCTTAACAATTTATACTTATATGGAAAACTCTTAACAAATATTTTTCATTAGATTATAGTTTCAAGTTTTCCTCTATGCATCTGGTATAGGTCCCTTTTAGGGATAAAATTACATAACTAAATGAGAGGGTACTGAGAAAATAAAAGTACTAAGTACCTTATCATGCTTTTGATAAAAAGAAGTTCTAATTTTCAGACTTGTAAAATTCAAATCGGAAATAGTTACATCCCTTAAGTAGTTTCTGTATTATTCTGAGCTCAAAGCATGCACACTGTTAAAAATGCAAAAGCTGAATATAATTTTTATTTGCCACAACTTCTAATATGTTTTGTTTCATTTTGCTATGCATAGATCCTCAAGAAAGCATTCGCTATGAGAATCACATAACCATTAGGAAATCTACCTTCTCCCATCCTTTGACTGTAATTGAAACATCAATGATAGTTTCAATAAAATGAATAAACTGTCTTCCCTGTAATTATTGAAAACAATTTCTAATTTACATTTATCTGCCTTGCTCCTTGAAAAGCAGATTCAAGCAGTCAGAGAAAGACAAGTACCATATGATTTCACCCGTCTGAGGAATTTAAGAAACAAAACAAATGAACAAAAACTATAGAGAACAAACTTATGGTTATTAGAAGGGGATGGGAGAATGGGTAAAATAGGTGATGGGGATTAAGAGTACACCTATCACGATGAACACTGAATGTACAGAATTACTGGAACACTGTATTATACACCTGAAACGAATATAATGCTGTATGTTAACCATACTGGAATTAAAAAGAAAAAAGAAAATAAATAAAAGAAAAATGTAAAATAATTTAAAGCTACCTACATGTGAAAATATATATGCATTATTCAAATCCTATACACAATTTTGAAGACAGGAAGCAGCTTTAAATTTTTTTTCAATAAATGAATACAGTACATAAAAAATGCTAACACAAAAATTCAAATCCTTTTCAGAAAAAAAAGTAACTATTTTAGATGTGCAATCTGATTCAACCACATATATATTTTTTAATGTTTTATTTATTTTTGAGAGAGAGACAGAGTGCAAGCGGGGAAGGAGCAGAGAGAGAGGGAGACACAGAATCCGAAGCAGACTCCAGGCTCTGAGCTGTCAGCACAGAGCCCGACGCGCGGGGCTCGAACGCAGGAACCACGAGAACAGGACCTGAGCTGAAGTCAGATGCTTATCCGACTAAGCCACCCAGGCGCCCCAGATTCAACCACATATTAAAAAACAAATAATCCTGGAGCCAAACAGGCAGCTATAGGAAACCAAACAGACACACACACACAAAAAGATACTCTAAGCTGTTTCACTCATACTAATTATAAATCTGTAAGATACATACTCTGTGCTCAGACTTGTGTATAACAGTCAGCTCCTTGGCATACAAACATGAGATGCACCACATGCTAATATTCACAGTGTATTTATACAGAATGTCAAAAATGATTTTAAAAAATTGCTTTCACATGTGACAAATGGAAACTATACCTTTAGCAGGCCTTGTACAAAGAGCCCTGACTCGTATTTAAATGATGATTCTGCTTCACATAATCTGGAACATTTTCTCTCTGCTGGAGTCAGAAAAAGGCATAATGTTCTCACTATCTGTAAAAGAAAATATTTTAGCATTAAAATAGGAAATTAAAAGGCCACTGGTCTGCTTATGAAAGAAATCTGAAAAGAAACTTCAACCATACTGTCGATGAAATACATCCTGAGAAAAAAGGTTTCCTTAGTCACCTGGAGTAGTCCATGGGACATAACAGTTGTTGCCTAAAATAGGAATTCTGTGGTCAAGTAAGTTTGGCAAATGGTGGTAAATGTATGGTATCTCAAAACCTTTAGCATTGGAATATATATTGACTTTCCAGGTGATTGATATAATATGCATACTTTATCCAACTCTTTGACCATGGAACTTTTATATTTCAGTAAGAACTAATGACTTAATATAATTATTAATTCTATTTCCACCCAGCAGCAAGTATTTTTCAAATGAAAAAAAACAATTTTGGATAAGAAAACTAAATACAGTTGAATTAGGCAGAATTATGGCTTCGATTGAACAGTTCGACATATGAAATCTCATTATAATGAATATCAGGAGTGTCCAAATCCTTCAACAGAATGAGAATTAATTCTATCAAATTTGATTTAAAATAAGCAAGCCTTTGGTTGGGGTTTAGAAATCTAGGATTCTAACAGGATTTGATCTATAGCTCTATTAGGAAAAGTAAAAAGCCATGTAAGTATGTTGGAATTCAGAGTATATTCAGAGTTTTTAGATTAAAGTACTAGCTTTCAATATAGAGTGATGGCATCCGTTTTCTCAAATTAAAAAGATAAAAGAGAAGTGATCATGCCAGAAGAGGATGTGGATGAAAAAAATGTTTTAAAATACACAGGGCCCCAACCACAGAGCCTCTCTCCTTCCAGAAAGCTACTGGGAAGTCCTTCTGTGACCCTGAAGGGTCTGGGTGACACAGGGAAAGTTACCTTCTTGGGGTAACAGATGTAATAATAAATCACTAGATCAGCATAACAACAGAGATGCATTAACCTTTCACAAATGGATGTATGGAAATATATAATTTTGGTAAATTAAGGGTCATGCAAGCATACAGGGTAGGTAACTTGAGAAAAAAATTACAAATATATTTGTCAAGGAAATAATTATTGCTAACATATTTCCTATATAAAACATAAAAAGAGAAGTCAGGTTTGCTTAAACTGATAGATATGTGCAATTTCTCTCTTTCTAGTTAACAGTCAGTGAAGTAAAGTACAAAATCCTTTAGTTTAGTGCCTAACGCTTGGAAAAGTAAGTTAACTTCATTAATTCTTTAGTAACTCATAGAGCACTGAAGGAAGTGGTCACAGACGTTACTGAGTAAAACATAACTTCCACTGACCACTGAACAGTGATAGGTCCCTAAAAGAAATAGATTTAGGAGGAAAATAATATAAGAAATCAAAATGAATAATTAGATAACATTTCTTTGGAATTAGTATCACAAGTACATGGTTATCTTCATACTTATTAAGTGACATCAGAAAATAGAAGACAAATATTTTTTAAAAATACCTTATTTTAATGAAATTCTCAAAACCATTTATACAATACTGTGAACTGTATCATATTTATGAATATTCTTAATGAATTATCAACATGAAACTGATAAATGATTTCCTAGTTAAGCAGTTTACTTCGACTTACTTCTGCACAGGGTGTCACAGTAATTTTGCTTGACTACAACCTAACTTTTAAATCACAATCCATGAGGGGCGCCTGGGTGGCTCAGTCGGTTAAGCGCCCGACTTCGGCTCAGGTCACGATCTCACGGTCCGTGAGTTCGAGCCCCGCGTCGGGCTCTGGGCTGATGGCTCAGAGCCTGGAGCCTGCTTCCGATTCTGTGTCTCCCTCTCTTTCTGCCCCTCCCCTGTTCATACTCTGTCTCTCTCTGTCTCAAAAATAAACGTTAAAAAAAAAAAAATTAAAAAAAAAAAATCACAATCCATGATATGTTAGCAGTATTAAGAAGTGAGATTATTTGCTGGATTATAAGATAAATTACCTTATTTACTTTTTCTGCACTGCTACCTACTACGACTGAACAGCCACAGGTCTGCAGGTGTGAGCTAATGGCACTGCAAAGTGGAGAAAAAAGATGAAAAACACTGGCTGTAAAGCAATTTCACAAACTAAACAAAAAAAGGGCATGCGAACTTCAAGTAACAGACTAGCTTTACATGATGAATGACAAACTGTAAGTAAAATGCCACCTTTTATTTCCACGGTACTTTACGTTTTTCCACAGGCCTTTCACACAGATCCTCCCATTTGAACTTAAAACCCAGTTAGTAAAATATCACCATTTTATAATGAAAGAAACTGAGGTGTTGAGAGGTTAAGTGATTTACTTAAAGTCAAATGGGATTAAAAACAAGGATATGAACGGCTGACAGTGAGTGGAAGGGGGACTAAAGTCCTTCTGATTCATACTACGTAAAGCTTCCGGGTTCAAAACACTCACACCTCTGAGTTTCCATCATGAACCTAAAGGAAAAGACTATGGACATAAAAGCAAATACTTTATCCTGTCACTTCTCATCAAAAACAAAATAAAACTTCACGATAATCTGCAGTCATAAAGAATCACTGAGGTAGAAGATGAGATTCTCAGTGCAGAGAGCGCACTTATTAGAGGGATAAATGTTGGCTGATATTACTGTCATTAACAGTCATTAACATTTTCCTTTGAAAAGACAGAAGTAGAAAATGTTAGCTATTAGCTGTTACGTGCTTATACGTTCCGGGTGCTGTTTTAAGGGCTTGGTATGATTTATCTCACTCAATTCCTACAACAATCCTATTAAGTAGGTACTACTATTATTCCCATTTTACAGATGAGGAGATGGGGGCACAGAGGCTTCAGGTATCTTGCCCCAGTTTACACACAGCAATAACCCAGGAAGTCTGGTTTTAGAGCCCACACTCTTAAGTTCTAAAATCTACTATAAGATGGAAAGGATAAGTAAAAATAACAAATAATTTTCTTTTCTAGGCCTAAATAACTTAAGTGCATCCACAATGCAATTCAATTTGTAAGGGTTCTGTGATACTGTGATTTTAAGAAATACGCATTTGTTTTTTATTCACATTTCCTGGCTCACAGCTCCCATAACACTTAGAATTTCCTAAGTGCAGGAAAAGATAAAGATGCCTTTTGTTATGTTAATGGAGCGACTTTTGGAAAACATCTAAGGATGGGGGCTGATTGCCAATGGAGCCAACCACTAAAGATTAGAACTTTCAGTCCCTCCCGCTGACTTCTGGGTAGGGGAGAGGGGATGGAAGTTATCACCAACGGCCAATGATTTGATCAACCATGCCTATGTAACAAAGCCTCCATGAAAACCCAAAAGGAAGGGATTTGGAGAGATTCTGGGTTGGTGAACACGTGGAGATCTGGGGAGAGATGTGTGCTCAGAGATGGTATGGAAGCTCTTCACCCTTTCCCCAAACCTTATCCTATGCATCTCTTCCATATAGATGTTCATCTGTATGTTATATTCTATCCTTTACAATAAACCAGTAATCCAGTAAATAAAATGTTTCTCTGAGTTCTGTGAGCTGCTCCAGTAAATTAATGGAACACAAGGAGGGAGTCATAGTCATAGCCAGTTGGTGAAAAGAACAGGTAACATCCTGGACTTGTTACTGATGTCTGAAGTCCAAGGATGGGTGGTTGAGATCTCTAATATCTAGCCAGTCAGAAGCATAGGTGAAAACTTGGGCTTGTGACTAGTGTCTGGAGGGTAGGTGGGACACAGTCTTGTGGGATTGAACCCTTAATCTGGGGAATCTGACATTATCTCCAGGCAGAAAGTGCCAGAAATGAATTAAATCGTAGGACCCACTTGGTATCTAAAGCATTGTTTGTTGGTGTGAGGAACCCCACCAACATTAGAAATGGGTCTAAGAACCCCTTTTGTTCTTAGTTTCAGATTTAATGAGAAGTAAAACAAGAAACCAGAACCAACAAGATTTTCTGTCTGGGCACTATGGAAACTCGGCTTCTTTCAGTATTAAAAAGAGTAACATCAAATATATCACAGACATGTAACAAATGAAAAAATAACACAAAGCTAAGTAATAGTTCAAATATGAAACAATGTTCCTAGAATAGTTTGGGTAGCTATTCTATTACTTTCTTCCTTCCAAATCATGTCATTGGTGAGCATAAGATTTCTATGTGCTTTATCCACCTTTTATGAAAGAAACAAAATTCTTACTTGAGAAGGAAGCCTTCATGACAACTGTCACCAATGTCATCATCATTGAGAACTGTATCAGCTATCTAAAATGTACCACAAAAAAAAAGAAGTTATTCTGGTTATAATACGGCAGTGAAATAACACTCTCAAGTCTCGGTTCAACAGAACACATTGCCCTCATTTCTAAGCATCAAGAATCCTAATAAAGCCATCTCTGTGCTTCTATAAACTTTCAGGAGAACAAATGTGAAAACTTGTCAGGCAGGTTAAACAACAATTTTGATGAGAACAACTTCCTATTCTTTGCTGTCAGAATCAGGAGACGAATCTTAATGACACAGTCAGAAAGAAACCGGAACAGTTTCCTCAAGATTTCTCTATGCACTCTTACCGTGTGATTCAAAATGTCAACATGGGATTAAGAAACTAGATTATGGAATATAAGTAAACTTGTGTTTATCACCACTGACTTGTACACTGCTTTGTTAACCAAAAGTACTGCATTAAATACTGACTGCTTCTTTAAGGTCTGGAATTCTCCTACTTCTAAACTAAATAGGTGTAATTCTGTCACAACTGTCACTGACCAAAAAAGCCTCTTTTTGGCCATAAAACTCAGTATTTTATGTGTGTGTTATTAAAGTGGTTAATACTTCATAGGAATAGCATGTATGACAAAAAATGCACACTAGTAAAATTAGAATGCTACTAATATACATAATAGTAATAGAACTCAAGGGAATTGATAAGAGGTGGTACCATTGTTCTTATTTAATAATACAAGTCATGGCTTACATCTATTTCTTCAGGAACACTGTGTGATTTCATAGATGAAAGCAGCTCCATTACAGGAATTACTTCGCCAGTAAGCATTGGAATAATACTCTGACCCTGTACAAAAAAAGCAAAATGAGGCAGAAAAAAAAAAATTACACAATGAAGGTATCCCCTGCTTTTCCAAAGTTCGAGTTACACCACTTTGCTTTTATCAAAGACCTACATTAGTACCTGTTTTCAGTAACCAAAAGGAATCCAAAGAGGATTTTTGCTTTCACCAAAAAAAAAGGTGAAAAGCTAAAAGGGGTTGAGCACCTATTTTGCAATGAACCCCTCTAAGAGGCAGCACATAGCCTGAGCGCAGGAGAGGCCCTGCCAAGCTCCTTCCCCAGGAACTATCCCAGGCATCTCAGCATCAAGCCGCCTTAGCTGTGGATGGTGGTGAGCATCTGTGCTTTGTCTCGATTTATTTTGTGCATTCCTTAGCAGGGTGTGTTCTAAGGTATCTGAGATGTGTAAGACGGGTTATGTTTTGGGTCTGGGAATGCTCAAGAACTTTTCCACGTAAATTAATGGTAATTGCTTCCTCACTTTATGGCCATTTCAGTGTATGAAATGTTCTATAGGAACACTCCACTTTTGGATAGCGGGGAAAATCTGTATAGGACCAACAGGACAATAAAATATTAAGAACCAAAACCAAGAATGACACCCTTTGATAGAAACACTCAATAGCTTGTTAGAATACAGCCCCAAACATGTCTACTATTTCAAAGCATTTCTAAAAGATGTACGTACTATTTTAAAACTGATTTTCATCACTCACCATCGGGAAAATGCAAATCACAATTACTGAGATATCACCTCATACCTGTTAGGATGGCCAATATAAAACAAAAACAAAAAGAAAACCCAGAAAATAACAAGTATTGGTGATGATATGGAGAAATTGGATCCCTGTGCACTGTTGGAAGAAATATAAAATGGTGCAGCGACTATCCAAAACACTCTGGCGGTTCTTCAAAAAATTAAAAATAGAACTAGCATATAATCCAGAAGTCCTACTTCTGTATATTTATCCAAAAGAATTGGAGACAGGCTCTCAAAGAGATATTTGTACTTCCGTGTTCAATGCAGCATTATTCATAATACCCAAGGTATGGAAACAACCTAAATGTCCATCTATGGGAGCACGCATGAAGAAAATTTGGTGTATACATACAACGGACCTTAAAAAGAAGGAAATGCTGTCATACGCAACATGGATAAATCTTGAGGACACTATGCTAAATGAAATATGCCAGTCACAGAAGGACAAATAGTGCATTATTCCATTTATATGAGGTATCTAAGTAGTCAAACCCACAGAAATCAAAAGAAGAACGGTGGTTGCTAGAGGCTGGAGGGAAGGAAAAATGAGAGGTTACTGTTCAATGGGTATATGGTTTCAGTCATACAAGATGAAGAAGCTGTAGAGATCTGCTGTATGATAATGTACATGTAGTTAGCAATATTACACAATACACTTCAAGTTTTGTTGAGGATAGATTTCATGTTAAGTGTCCCTTTCCACAATTTATTTGTTTAAACTTTTTTTAATGTTTATTTATTTTTGAGAAAGAGACAGAGACAGAGACAGAACATGAGCAGGGGAGGGTCAGAGAGAGAGGAAGACAGAGAATCCAAAGCAGGCTCCAGGCTCTGAGCTGTCGGCACAGAGCCCAACGTGGGGCTCAAATGCACAGACCAAGAAATCATGACCTGAGCCAAAGTCGGATGCTTAACTGACTGAGTCACCCAGGCACCCCCCCCAACTTTTTTTTTAAACTTTTTTTTTAAGGTTTATTTATTTTTGAGAGAGAGACAGAGCATTAGCAGGGGAGGGTCCTTTACCACAATTTAAAAAATAAAAGTAAAGTAGTTTATAAGAAATTGATAAATTAATAAAAGATTTGCTTGATAGGAAAAAATAAATAAACTCATTTTCATCCTTCTGGGAATGACTTTCTTTAGTCAGAGTGGAATCATTGGCTTATCATTTACTGTTACATGCTATAATTAAATTGCCATGCCAAATTTAGAAAGGATTTCCTTTGATATTTATTTGAGATATAAAAATTCTTGTTAATTAAAGGTCATTGATGCATTTTATATTTAAAAATGAGGAAAAACTTGGAGCCTGGATGGCTCAGTTGGTTAAGCATCTGACTTCGGCTCAGGTCATGATCTCACAGTTTGTGGATTTGAGCCCTGTGTCGGGCTCTGTGCTGACATCTCAGAGCCTGGAGCCTGTTTCAGATTCTGTGTCTCCCTCTCTATCTCTGCCCCTCCCCTGCTCATGCTCTGTCTCTGTCTCAAAAATAAATAAACATTAAAAAAAATGAGGAAAAACAAGCACAAAAAGGCTCAGAAATAGTCAGCAAATAACTCAACACTCAACATCTACATTCACAATAAGGTTTAGTACTCAAATGCAAACTGAAATCATCACATATATGTTAACAATCAATAAAACAGACAAGTTTCCTTTAGAATTCAAGATAAAATTTGAATTATGTATCAAAAATGCAATTTTGAAATCTGTAGTTTCTAGAGTGAAATTCCAAGTTCAATATAGAACATCACAAACACAGAGTGTCTCAAATGGATGATCTCTCATTTATTCATTACCATCACCCCTGCCCCCAAATTTCTGGACCATCCTGAATACGTAAACTTTTAGAAAGGTAGATAAATTGTCACATGTCCGTTAAATTTTAGCTAAATATGTTTTCAAAACACATAAATAAGATCAATCTAACAGCTTTTTCCTCACTCACATCTCATGAAACTATCTTACTCAAACTTTTCAAATGTGTCTTTAAATCTCAGTCATTCCAAGAGTCATTTTTTGAGTGACTATACCCAGTTTTTCAGAAACTTGGGCTTTAAATGTGATGCTGTCTGTGGGAATTTTATGCTAAGTCCTAAGCCTCCTTGCAAGATATAGGTTTTATTTAAAAAAAAAAAAAGAATTCATCCTGTAGTAGCCTCCAAACATAACCACTCACTGTTTCTGTTTTTTAAAAGAATTTTTAAAATTCTTGTTTACAATTACAATCAACACAGGCAATTCAACAAGAATAATGACAAGCTATAAAGGGATTTCCTCATAAAGTGATTTTTATCAGATGATAGCTATAAGTATCCAAAACTTGCACTGAATGAAGTCAGTGATTGATTCCAGACTCATGTGTCATCCCCAAATAGTATTTATTTGTTCAAAATAAAGTCATTTTAAGCACATGATGGGAGATTCACAGGGATTCAGTTATCAAGCAGCTTCTTTTCAGAAAGGAAAACTGTAGGAAAATACTTTCCCTTCGGTGTAGGCATATATATAGTGCCATAAACCGTATCTCAGATATTTATCCTAAGTGAATGGATATCTTCATCAAAGCTTAACAAAAAAAATTCTACGAGCCTGAACACAGAAGAGACTCTAAAGTAAATCCCTCAAGTTTCTTTTCCTCCTTTGACTTCTCTAACTTGAACTTCTCAGCAGAAGAATGTTTCCCCTTTAAAAACCTTCTGTTGGTCCAAATACACAGAAGGGACACAATGACATTTTCAAGAAGAGCCCTTAAGAGAGAAATAAAACTGGGGCACCTGGGTGACTCGGTTGACTTCAACTCAGATCCGACTTGGATCTCAGCTCAGGTCATGATCTTGGTGCATGGGATCAAGCCCCCTATAGGGCTCTGGGCTAACACTGTGGAGCCTGCTTGGGATTCTTTCTCTCTCCATCTCTGCCCCTCCCCTACTTGTGTTTGCATGTAACAAAAGTGCAAATAAATAAACAAATTTATAAACAAATAAACTTTAAAAAAAAAGAAACAAAACTTAAAAATTAACAGTGGTAAATTTTTTAAGTATAGGTTTCTAGTTTGAAAAAAAAAAATCCCAGGAAAAGTAGAATTTTACTGGGTCCTAAATATCTTTATCTTGAGGAAACCCTACTAACTACTCCATAACTAGCAGGTACATCTACAGGTTGGTAAAAGTCCCCCCAGTACTTGGCACCCTGCTCATTACCAGTAAGTAAAGGCCAGGCTTTTCTGGGTAAACGGAAACATCTTCTAAGTGTCAGATCTTTCCCCAGGATTACCTCTCCTCTGGCCTGGGAAGCTATTTACAAAAGTACAGACATAACAATTTTGTAAAGTAGGTCATTCTACAGGGTTTTGTATTTTCCTGGTTTAAGTCCCTACATATTCAAATTTTTAGAAAAGTTACTGTTCAAAGTACTATTATGTCTTAGGTATGCTAAGGAAAACCACAGTAAGGACAACCCAGCCACAGACTGGAGTTCAAACAGAAGGAACACTGAGGGTGGCCAGCCAGCAGCAATGGGAGTAAAAGCAAAGAACCCTTTCTCCATTAGAGATTCCCCTTCAGAACATCTCTGCCCTGCACTAAAATGGTTTGCATTTAATTTCCATAAGGGAAAGTGTACCCTCGCAATCAAATATCTCAAATACTGGTGCCTGTGCCCTAAGGACATTAAAAGCCATGGGATAAACATGGCATGCTTCCCTAGAGACTTATTACCAGAAGAAGGTGAGGAATATCACTGGCAGACTGCAATATTAAATAGATATAAAATATAAACTGCATGACTTTTAAAAATACAATGTGAGACTTCAAATAAATATTATGCTTAGAACTGTGCCTGCACCCCCAGATATCTTAGGAGTATACTCACTTCCCTCCTGTTATAACTTCTGTGGAAATGTCTGAGAAGCAACGCCTTAAAGAAAATCTCATATAAAACTTAAAATTTTTAGTATGAACAAGTTATTCAAAACTTACTCTATACAAACAGAAAAAAGGTAGCAAAATTGCTATTATTCTTCACTTATTTAACTCTTCAGATCTAAGATATGGAAATTTTCATTTAGTTTATTCCATATATTTCCACAAAGGCTCTGTTCATTTTCAGATTCACTCTGTCAAAATAGTATGGCTTCAAGGCCTTAAGAAAAGTAGCCCTCAGGGGTACCTGGGTGGCTCAGTCAGTTAAGTGTCTGACTTCAGCTTAGGTCATGATCCTGTGGTTCATGAGTTCAAGCCTGCATCTATGCTGACAGCTCAAAGCCTGGAGCCTGCTTCGGATTCTGGGTCTCCCACTCTCTCTGCCCCTCCTCTGCTCACATTCTCTCTCTTTCTCAAAAATTTATAAACATTGAAAAAAAAATTAAAAAAAAAGAAAAAAGAAAAGTAGCCCTCAGCCTTATATAGATACATGTCATGAGGTTGTACTTTTTGATAGCAAGCATTCTGTATCTTACCTGATCTTCCATTCTTTCTGTGCCTTCTAAGACTATTTTCTGGACATTTTCTTGCCTTTCCTAAGCAAGAGAAAATTTATTAAAGTTAAAATTAAAAAAAACATCTTGATACTTGTTTAGTTTTCACTATACAGTTAAATGGTAGACATGCTGTTGTGTAATTTAGTTCATGGGAAAAATACTTTCCACATTAGGGCAGGAAAAAAAGGGAGGGGGCAGGAAATTAATCCAACAAATTCCTTCTCTTATAAACAATACAAAATAAAATAAAAACACCCTTTTTTCTGTAGTTAAAAAAAGATAAGTTGTCAGAAAACAGTCAATGTAACATCTGCATAGTTTCACAAAGGAAACTAATGATTTGTACTTTTCAAATTAAATAAGATCAAGTTGAATCTGGGGCTTCCTGATTTTAAATGATTTTCATAAACATTTAAAATAAGAAAACATGTATGTAAACATAGTAAAACACTATTCTTTTGAAAGACGCTATTTCTCTTCACTATTTGGTAAAAGCCTTGGAAGATTAATAATGCTTTAACAGACTTCCACATTAGTATCAAAACCATAGAGCAGAAGAGAGTTAAACTTGTTCTTCGGATCTGCCAAAAATACACGAAAATATAAATACCACTAAATATTAAACTGCAGGATTTAGGGGATGACAGTAATTTCCTCTGGCTCAATCTGCAAAATTAAAAGGAGCATCTCCTAGAAACCATTTCATCCAATCTCATTTTACAAATTTCAGAACTAGGTAAAGTTAAAGAGACCAAAGGCTACATGGCGAGCTGCTTATGAAACACTTGTTTTGAACTGCTTGTACCTACACAAAGTACTAAGTGAAAAACAGGGTCATGCAACGCAAAAAGAAAAAAAGGTTTTATGGTTAAAGGTTCCCAAGACAAACCCATACTCTAAAACTTATTACAATATTCTTAATTTCTCTGTTTTAGCTTTTTACTTGTAACAGAGAGCTATCATCCCCTGCCTTTAAGGGTTATTATGAAGATCACTGACATCAGACTACTAGACCTATCTATCTAATAGGGCAGATGCAGGGGCACCTGGGTGGCTCAGTGGGTTAAGCATCGGACTTCAGCTCATGTCATGATCTCATGGCTTGTGGGTTCAAGCCCCGCGTCGAGCTCTGTGCTGATGGCTCAGAGCCTTGAGCCTGCTTTAGATTCTGTGTCTCCATCTCTCTCTGCCCCTCCTCTGTTCATGCTCTGTCTCTTTCTCTCTCTCAAAAATAAATAAACATTAAAAAAAAATTTAATAGGGCAGATGCAAATAATAGCTACTGCTTGAAATTAATTGCATAGAATTTCTAAAAATTAGATATAAATGTATCAGAAGATAAACATTCAATGGCTAGATTAGCATGATTAATACGCTCAAAAATCACTCACCTTGTGCATCCATATCCTTCCTTTTCTGATAATATGTGTTAGTCTATCAACACACACTCTGTGAAGCGGGAGGTAGAAGCTAAGTTCGGTCTGTGGAAGTATAATTGATAGACCATATGTGCTCCTATCTCCATTCCAGTTTCCATCAAAGATCAATGAAACAATAATGACTCCTTTTTCAGAAAGGACAAAAAACTTCACATCTATAGCCCCACTCTCTGCGTTTCGGAGGATTTCTCCATTTAAGGTGTGGTTGGCAAGAAAAGTTATTTCTCCATCGCTGAGAAGTAGCTGTTCTGTCTTAGGAGCCCAAATGTGTCTTACTCTAGGACCAAGAATATTGTCCCAGTAAGCAAAGGTAGCTGCTAATAGAGGTGATTCACCACTTAGAGCAATCTCTGTCTTGGCAACAGCTGGAGATGGTGGTGGACAGAGATTCGACATCACTGCATCCCAACTATCACATTATCCAAATGCTCCAGGGATATCTAAACAATGACATACAAAATCAATAATTAGGTTCAGCAATTTTAAAGTCATAGCTCAGAAACTCAAATGATAAAGGCCTATGTGGTTTTCTCCTCTTCAGTCAAAAAGGATTTGAAAACATGTCCCACCAGCTAGCATGGCAAGTGCACATTAAACGCTTGTGAATATGATAACCTTGATACATAGTAAATTGTCACCTATATTCAGAGAATATACTTAGATGTCCAAAATAATAATGACCTAAAAAAAAAGGGCCTTTGAACATTAATACGAAATACTATACACTACAGCTCATGGAATAGACTCACTGTTCCCAAATATCTAGTCTATGTGCAATTCTATTATCACTGGATATTTGCTCCTTAAACCACAGCAACTAAAGAGGAGCAAATTGGGCAGGGGAGGGTTCTGCTACAGACCACCACACTTGTTGTGGGTTGAACCATGTCTGCCACAAAATATATGTTCAAGTCCTACCCCTCTGTATTTGTGAGTGTGACCTTATTTGAAAATAAATGTAATCAAATTAAGATGGGGTCATATTGGATGAGGGTGGATCCTAATCCAATGATTGGTGTCCTTAGAAAGATTTAGAGACACACAGACAAAGAGGAAATGGGGTTGTGTAAAGACAGATGTAGGAATTGGAGTGATATGGCTACAAGCCAAGGAAAGCCAAACATGGCTGGTAACAGCTATGAGCTAAGGGGCAAGGAAGGATACTTCCCTACAGCCTTCAGAGGAGCATGTCCCTACAGACACCTTATTTTGGGCTTCCAGCTTCCAAAACTGTGAGAATAAACTGTTGTTGTTTTATATTACCCAGTTTGTGGTACTTTGTTATGGCAGTCTTAGAAACAAGTAAAGACACCTGTCAATAAAAACATCCTAAAGCTGTTGGAGGTGGTGGGGGA